CTAAAGTCTAAATTGTTTTTATTTTTGGGTTGAGACCTATATGTTTATGGGTTTTTATACCAACTGCTGGTAAACTATTTATAAACAAAAAATTAGATGAACGACCTTATGAATGCGTTCATTTTTTCAAAGAACGTGAACGTGAACGTGAACGCATTCGTTTGAAAAATCATGAACGTGAACGAGTTCCTTTTTCAAGGACTGAACGTGAACGTGAACGTGAACGAATTCATTCTTTTAGTGAACGTTCCGAACACTGGTAATAATACATATAAAACACGAATACACGATACAGCTGTCAACTGATTGACTGATACTGACTATAGAATTAWAGTTCTCATTGACATAATTAAATATGAAATTTAAATCATAATTTTTTAAAGATATCCCCTCACATCAATAAATAGCATGAACAGTTCATTATAAATAAGCTAATGGCTATTGAAAACTAAATTGTATAGAATTAAAATTAAATTTATACATTATAATAAATTATATTGGTATACTTAATACTCGCATTATACATATTTTCAGTGTTGGGTAAGTTACTTTTTAAAAGTAACTAAGTTACGTTACAAGTTACAAAATAAAATAGGTTACTAGATTACTTGTTACTTGTTAGTTACTCAAGTACAAAAGTAATGTGTAACGTTACATTTTTTTTCAAAAGTAACTAGTTACAATGACGTTACTTTTACCACTGACAACTGTGATAAATGATAATGTATTTATGCATTGTTGACAAAAGCTCCGGCCTACCATACCAATAGTTATCAACGATAATCCTTCCGACAATCTTTCCGTATGTCGATGTACATATTTTATCAGATATGATCTAAAAATAAATAAACTAATAAACTATAGCAGTTGCTGCCTGTATAGGCTGTAATCGATGCTAATTTATAATCAGTTAAATTGAAAATAATATTTACACAAAATTGTTTATTTATATAATTATATTRGATTATACTGGGAAAATGTTGTAATTACATAAATATCTACTTAAATAGTTTAAATTATTAATAAAATTACAATATCTGATCCGGATACGAGGGCAAGAACTGCTCTGTGAAGTTGAATCATGATATCCCCCCCATAAAAAAAAATAAAATTTAATTTATAATGTAATGCGCTCTTCTGACAAGTTACTTCTAAATAATTAACGTAGTTACAATWGCATTACCCAAAAATAATAATAACAAAGTTACCATAACATTACTGAAAAATGTAACTAAGTTACAGTACGAGTAACGCAYGTTACRTTACTACCCAACACTGCATATTTATTGTTATAATTATTTAAAAATTCTAATTATATTTCCTCACATGTTACAAACTATAAGTAACAACCAAACTCTACATTTGATCTACAAAAGAGGAAGTTCGGTACCTTAGAATAAAATACTTAAAAATGTAAAATTTAGAATTTACATTAATTTAAATTATGCTTTACTTGTTTATATTATGTATCTTATTAATATTAAGTAAATAGAAGTTGATTCTATCCTGATCAGATTATTAAGTATTTTAAAGTAATTCCCCCGTGTCATTGAAGTATTTGTATTTCAAATTTGCAACCATAGCTAATATTAAAATTAAAAATAAAACAATAATTATTTCACATCTAATAATAATAAGTATAAAAAAATTAACTCATTTATTTAAATATTTTTAAATAACCCTACAAATGCTAATTTTGGCAGGGGTCCAGATTGAACATACATATTTAATAAATTGGACAAAATCAATGTATTAATAAAATAGTAAATAAATACATTGTGATAGTCACATAATTCAAAAATATCTGTTTATAATGACAAGTACATATATATAACTCATGATAGTTATAATTCTCTAGTTATATATATTTATATTTTATATCAATGCATCATTTATTTATACCTATCAACTCTTTGAAATAACTAATGTAAATTTATAATTTTATTGTTATAGAAGATTTGAAAGGGTCAATAAAAAAACTAGGCCTTACTCAAGGTATATTTTATCAACTGATGATAAATATATCAGCAAATATATCTCGTGATCTTGGCATGATACCTGGTGGTGAATTTCGTAGAGCTGTCATTGAAGTATTAATTTGTCACAATTTTTCCTATTGTAGTTTACATATAAATATTTACAACATTTTTTTTATTAAAATTTAGGCTAAAAAATATAACAGCCACATTTATCTAGGTGATAGACCAGTTGATATCACTATAAAAAGAGTGATTTCAATGTTGAGTTGGCCAAAGAGTATTAAACTTTTGGCACACTTGCTATTTACTGCTGATTTTAAAATTACGTAAGTTTTACTTAACGTTTTCTTTATGAAATATAATTTATAAACATAAAACTATTTTTTATTATTAGAAAAGAAGATGTGGAAAAATTCAAAAACAAAGACTTACTAGAAACTTTAATGCATGAAATGGCTGCTGACTATCCAGAATTGGAGCGAGTAATAGTTGATGAAAGAGATAAGTTCTTAACTTATAGTTTACAAAATTGTGCTGGATTTGTTATAGAAAAAATTGGCAATAAGCCTAATGTATTTAATTCAAGTTAGTAAAAGAGTGAATGTATAGTTATTGTTTGTTCATTTATAAATCTTTGAATGATAACAATAATGGTAAATATAATTTAAAATAGGACCTCAAGTTATTGTTGGTGTGGTTGGATTAGGTCACGTTGCTGGTATTAAAAAATATTGGGAAAAAATTGCTGATGAGCAAATAGCAGAACTAATTATGTAAGTTATTAGTTGATTGAATATTACCTATCTTTAATTAATATATGTACACACAAGTATATACAAATTTTCTATACTACAGGATTAAATAAAAGGATCTGATTTTTATGTTATACGCAATAATTGAATATAAAAAAATATATTATCCTAAAATTTAAAATGGCAATGTTTATTTTTGTTTAGAATTCCACCTCAATCAAGAAGTAGTAAAGTTATTAAAGTTGTCATCAAAGTTTCTGCCTATGGTTTACTTTTATGGGGTGTTTCAAAGATCCCTGGTGTAAGATCGCTATCAAAAATGGCTTATGAAGCAGTTACTTCTACATATGTTCAAGGGAAATTTATAAAATTACAATAAACTATAAAATAATCAATATTCCATTATATATTATTATAATTTATGGTATGTATAGAAATCAATTTTTTATGACTATTTCTCTAGTATTTTTWTTTATAAATTGTGTCAATTCAATTTAGACAACCCTAAGTATGTAAAATGTTGAAGTGGGATAAAATCTTTTATAAGTTGCTATCAATTCAGATGTACCTGTCTAATAAACTASTATGGATATTTCACATAATGGTTTATTTGAACTGGTACATTTAAATTAAAAAAGATTTCATCCCATTTTAACAACTCTGATGGTTAGGTTAAAATCAATTGCACRATTAACATTGTCAATGTTAAGGCAAACATTATTGCTATATCTCTTTCAGAAATTTAAGTCCAATAAATAAATTTTTTTACTTAGTTTTATTTAACTAACCATAGTTCCAAMACATAAACATACACTAATGATAGAACAGTGGTTCTCGACCAGTGTGCTGTGAAAAATATCTGATATTTGTAATTATGCTGTTTAAAACAGTATTTTATTCCATTAAATTTGTGTTAAGTATGCTGTGAACCAAAAAAGCTTGAGAATCACTGGTATAGAGTCTAGAATAAAGTTAATATACCATTAGACATTGTAGATGTTTAGCATTTCCTTTTATTGTAATTTGGTGTATATTGTATTATTTATATACTTTAACATTTTGTACTATTTATTTTTGTTAATAAATTTAGGGTATCATCTTATTTTTGTTTCAGTTTTAAATAATAAGTTGCAAATACAACTATTCTAATAATGTTAAGTAATAATCAAAGMGAAGATAATTACGATCACATTGATGATTCACTTATATATTCTTCAACAAACGTTCCAGGACCTGGTTGTAATATGAATGATTTAAACAGTTGTCCCAATCAAATGTGTAACTGTACTGATTTATGTCAAACACCAAGTTSTGATTGCATTGGTTTAGATGGCTATAATAATTATGACAATTTTGGTAAACTAATTGCAATTAATAAGTTAATWTATGAATGTAATGATTTATGCAAGTGTAATTTGTGTCAAAATCGTATTGTTCAACTTGGACCAAGAATTGGTTTACGTATTTCTCAGTGTAGCAAAGGCTATGGATTATATACAGATATTGCCATTGAAAGAGGACAATTTGTTTGTGAATATGCTGGTGAAATAATTGATTTATCCGAAGCACAGAGACGTTCAAATTTAGATCACGAAAATTATATATTTGTGATAAATGAACACTTTTCTGGAGATGTAACTACAACTGTAATTGATTCTACCATTATTGGAAATATTGGTCGATATATTAACCATAGCTGTGAACCCAATTGTATGATTGTGCCTGTGCGAGTTGATTCTTTAATTCCAAGACTAGCAATTTTCGCAATAAAAGATATTCAGTGTAATGAAGAAATTACATATCATTATGGAGGTGAAGGATCTCGCCCTCAAAATAATTTGTCTGAAGTTAAATGCTTATGTGAATCATTTAATTGTAACAGTTTTTTGCCTCGTAAAACAGGGTTATTTTAATATTAAGTACCTATAATTAAACTGTTGTGTATATAATATAATATTATATTCTTTAATTATAAATAAATATAAGGATAAAATATTTTTAATTATTAATTGAACATTCCTAAGTGAAAAATAAAAAAAATGAATGTTAGATATTTTAAGTTAATTGTGTGTCACTTTTGGTTGGATAATCAGTTATATATAGCAAAATTAAATAATTTCCATTATTAAATTTGAATGTCAATTTGTTTTGTAAATAATATAGTAATTATTATGATTTTTAAAGTATAGATTTCTTTCATTTTTAATCCAAAYATACCTAGCGGTAACATATATTTATTTGTAATTAATGAGTAACAATTTTGAGGTAAAAAAAGTTAYATTCATTGTAATTATTAAATGTCTATGACTTRGTCTTAAATTGTACTTAAAAGTTTCATAACCAATTATATTTTAACTAAAYTCAGATTTGATAAATAAATTACTAGATTATTTTTTCCAGAAATAAATAAAATTATTCCAGCAGATAATACAGTTGAATTACACATTAAATAGTAAAACACTGAATATAGCTTGAATACCTATCAGTTATTTCTTATAAAATGTCTTTTAATAGAAGAACTCTTTGCATAAACATGATCAAGTCAAACCATTTTTCTATAGATATTAAATTGAAATGAAAAATACAACATAACTTAGAATGAAAAACRTATATTTTAAACAAAAGTTCATTTTATTTTGCCTTTGGTATTTTACGATCTCTATTACGATTTTTAACATTTGTAACATCGTAAAAATCACTCCCAACTTTTTTCTTTTTATTTCTTAACATCAAGCTTCGTTTTTGTTTGCTTGTTAAACTACTAATATAAGCTTCGTGTGCTTCTTGCAGTTTTTGTTCTTTTTCTTTCCTTTTCTCTTCTTCTTCATCACTATCAGTTGAAGTAGCATTTTCATCTTCTTTAGTGGGTAAAGGAGTATCAACAGTTTCATCATCCGAATCATTTTCTACAGCAACATTCAAATCAGCTCTCTTAGTGATTGGTTCTTGATCATTTGCTGATAGAGGTTCTTCAAAACCAGGTGGTGGTTTATAATAAGGAATTTTCCCTCTTTGCCAATCATTTAATACCATTCTAGCACATAAGGCTAGGTCAGCATCACCACCTTTTAATAGTTTACCAGTTTTTATACCTAACTGCGATAAAAAATCTTCACTGTCCTCCCAGCTTTCTATTCCATAAGTTTTAGACAAATGCTCTGCTTTTACTCGTTCCATTAAAGGTGGTATATATTGTTCTGGATCTGGGACAAGTTCAACTCTAACAACACCCTTCAATACCTTTTCTGTGTCTGTTTCTAAATTAGCAGCATCATAAACTACTCCAGGACAATCAATGAGAAATATCCTTTTCATCAATGTTATGTACTGCCATACTTTAGTCTCACCAGCAATAGGCGCTACTTTACAAACTTTTTTAGATCGTAAAGCATTGATAACTGAACTTTTACCAACATTAGGATATCCAATGAAACCAACACTAATTTGTTTGCGTTCAGAATGTAATTTTGTGAACTGTCGCATTAAATTAATCACAGCACCTTTTCCAAAAGGATGAGTTAGTGATGCATGAAATGCTACAGTTGGATATTCAGAACTAAGAATAGCAACCCATCTCTGAGTAACCCAAACAGGTACAAGATCAACTTTGTTTAATACAAATATTAGATGCTTATGAGGTTTTTCTCTTTTTAAAAAATTTTCAATATGAGGACAGCGTGTTCCAGTAGGATCTCTTACGTCCAAAACCATWACAACAACATCTGATGAGTCAATTACTTTATACAATTCATTCCAAATACGTCTACTTTGCCCAGCAGCCATTATCCAATCCCGAGGAGCAGTTCTTTCACCTGTATCTTCTCTTTCCAAGTCCAAGTCTTTGTCATCTGAATATGATTCATTGATAGAATTAACAGTTTCAGATAACTGTTGTTCATCCCTTACAAATAGATTTGGACGCTTGCGAGTTTTTTTGGAACCAAAGACACTTTCAAAACTTTCAGTTTCAAGAATATGCACACGTTCGTGTTTTTTTTTTTCGTTTAAAAGGGTAATTGGCAATCCAGTAGGTTTCATAATGATATCATATGGATTTTTAACTGCTTTACCTAATTCTTCTTGAAATTTTTGTAAAGCATTTTGCCCTATTACTCTAGTATTGTCAAACCATTTACGATTAGGTTCTACACGAGCCTGAGCTCCACATGGTAACCAACCTTGAAATGGTGCAGCATGAATGATTTTACCTTTCCTATCACGTTTAGCTTTGAAGTTTCTATACATTTGCAATCTCTTTATGGTAGCTTTTGTTCTCACCTTTGCCACTCCTTTGAGATTTTCGGTTTTACGTTCAGGATTCATACTATGGGCTGACCTATTGAACCCTTGAGTTCTAGGCGCCTTAGTAGCAGAGCTTGTTTTAGCCATTTTTA